TTCCTGTCACATCAGGCTTTACTGGGTCCAGATTTCCTGTCTTCCTGAGAGGGAAAGATTAGAGAGCTATCAAGTTATTATTGTTTTCATCATGCAGTGCACTGTCATTTCTCCCAGTCTCACACTGTCAGAACCACAACTCCATGAACTAATTTACCAGAGGCATTTTAGTGTTATACCCCATAGTTTCCTCAATTCTCCCTCGTTTATTTTATTTCATTTAAGCTAGTGTATGTAGTTTGTTTGGCAGCCACCATGTTGTTTTAAAGAAGCCACTCTCTTGTTGCAAAGGTGATCTAGTCCTCCCATGAAGGTTTTCATTGTTTTATTGATTGCTTTAAATCTCTGGTCGGAAAACCTCATGCTTCCGCTGAGATTACCGCACTGATCTTCCTTCACAGCTCATTCTTTCCACATTGTATTTTTTTAACAGTACCATGTTTGTACTGAGGATAGTACATGTATGTGCCTGTGCATGTGGGTGCAGAAAGGCACACTGGGAATCCCTACAGTGGCTGCCTGGTAGCAAAAGGGTGGTTCACCTCTGTCAGCGCAGGCAGGAATGCTCTGCACACTCAGCATTTTATGCGAACATGCACACACAGAGTCAGTATTAGCATGTGAATGCAGTTGACATGCTTACATGTCATTTTTAATATATAGGTGGGACACGTCGTAAAAAAAAGCGTTGTAGAGTAAACCAGCAAGGACTCAGGCCTTGTTTATGGCTTCAGTTATAAAAACTGTGTTATGTCACATACTGGGTAAAATCTGTATAAATGATAAGCAGGTCTTTCACAGGAAAAGTACTTTCAAGCACATCTGTGCGTAGTTTGAACAAAGGTTTTTGAGTTTGTAAGGCAGGTGGTTTGATTTAAAGATGTAGGCAAAGGCTGGAGCGTTCATGTACAGGTTCTGTAGTTTCAAGATGGAAAATGTTTCCGTTGTCAGTTTGTTTTAACTTTCCAAATCCTCCTCTCTTAATCTTTTAGGTATTTTAGTTTTTCCTTTTTTCCCCTGTTTTTCACATTTGGGGTACACATGTTTGAAAGAAGAATGTTGCCTGCACGTTAACAATGACAAAACAGTAAACATCTAATCTCTAACACTTTTTGTTTCTGTCTCCCTTTATTTCTATTTTTTTGCAGAAGAGGTCGACTATGCTAACTTTGGCACCAACACAATAACTCGTAAGAAGAAGGCGGTGGTCGCGCTGCGCAATAATGACATCAACCGCAAGCGGCCACACATCCGCATCGGCATGCCCCAGGACTTCCGGCCCGTCTCCTCCATCATCGATGTGGACATCCTACCTGAATCTCACCGCCGTGTCCGACTGTATCGGCACGGCTCGGACAAACCCCTGGGCTTTTACATCCGAGATGGAACCAGCGTGCGCGTGACGCCACACGGGCTCGAGAAAGTGCCCGGCATCTTCATATCTCGGCTGGTGCCTGGAGGGTTGGCGGAGAGCACCGGGCTGCTGGCAGTCAATGATGAGGTGCTGGAAGTGAACGGCATCGAAGTGACTGGAAAGTCCTTAGATCAGGTAACGGATATGATGATCGCCAACAGCCATAATCTGATCGTGACAGTCAAGCCAGTGAACCAGCGCAACAATGTGGTCCGCAGCAGCAGGATCTCGGGGAGCTCAGGCCAGTCGTCTGACAGCAGCGGGTCGACTGGTTACCCGAGTTTGTCGGTAGCCTCAGCGGGGGTGATTTCCTCTGGAGCACATGGGTACCAAGACGACCTGGAGAGTGACGAAGAGACGGATATTGTCATTGAGAGCAGCCTCAAGCGGCCGTCTCAGAGGTCCAATGCTTCCCTGGCGTCCAGTGCGTCCCGCATACACCAGCAGACGCCAACAACCGCTTCAGGCCCGGCTGCACCTCCAAGCCCTCCCACACGTCCTTCATCGGTGGTCTCCACTGCCTCCTTCCACTCCCAGCCGAGCCTCAATGGAGGGTCCCATCACCACCACCACCAACACCACCACCAACACAGCAGCCTCAGCTACCAGCTCCACAGAGACCTGAATCTTCAGCACAACCCGCACCAACAGTCCCAGCACCGTCAGCACCATGTACAGCCTCCGCATCACAGCAGCAACCCAGCCCTCCGCCACAGCAACGGCAGCCTGCACAAAATCCTCAGCTCCATGAAAACGGACCCACGGCACAGTCTTGCACTGCCCAGAGGAGGGGTGGAGGAGGATGGGACCGTCATTACCCTATAATACTCCCAAACACACACAGACAAAAAACATCCCGACTGCTCAGAGACTAAAACTGGATAAATATGAGCGTGCTTGGTCAGACACTAATTTTGTAACTTCTATTTGTTTTTACAAGATAATTGATAATAGGAAGTTACAAGCCAGGAAACAATGAAAATGTATTGTATATATTTCCTGTATTTTTTAAGTTTGTCTGTCTTACATCAAAAGATTTGTATGTATGTATGTAATAAGCATCAGAACAAACTGTTTTTAGGTGAGTCCACTGTATCCTAGAGTTCTGAATGTGCCTACAGCCTAATATCTTCTGTTAGTGACCACTTTTATTAAGATCCTTTTCATTCTTATTACTGGGACCAATTTGGGGTTGCTTATGGATGTTTTTAAAGAGTAAATCTATATTTCTTATATTCTGATAAATGCTGTGTAGAGTATGGATTTTTTTAATAGTCTTTTTATGCATTGATGATTGTGATCAAATCCCTTGTATCTGTTCCAATAAATTATTCTAAGTCTCACAATTTTGATAACCAGGGACGTGATGTTTGGTTCAGCAGTTACATTTATGGTTCCTAAAGAGTTCGATTGTGGAATTCGCTCATTCCTCATTTGTATAATTTTATCTACGTTGGAGATGTTCTCATTTGAATTGCTACTACTATTGCACCTGTGAGGACGTGGAGCATAAATTCATTTGAAAATACAACTTCATATTCTTCAAAAGTGTTAATTTGCCCATCAGTGGTTAAAAAAAACAGACCATTGAGTCAAAACGTTGAAAATTAACAGAAGTGTTTCACTGACAGATGAAAGTTTGTGTGATTTAATTTGTCTGAGTTTAACCTCATTTTAAATCCTCAATTTCATCTCTTTGTTGTGGGTGCATAAATCTGCTATATTTGAATTTGTTTCACCAAACTTTCGTAGCAAAAAAAAAGCTTTGTCTACTAAACATACAGTAGATGCTGCTTTTAATTGAAGAACACTGGCTGAACAAACAATATGACATACTGAGGTGTTTTAGGTGTAAAGCTAAATAAAATGACACAACATCAAGTTTTGGATTCAGCCCATCAGAACCTAGTGAGAAGCTCCTTTCTAGAGTCCCTGCTGACCGTAAATACAGCAAATAATCAGAGCAGACGCTGACATCGTAATTTCTTCACCAACAGAAGCATCTGTAGACGAGGAGTGCATAACCACAAAACATGACGTAAGGGGCGTGACATTACTGGTAGTGTTGTTACCATTCTGCAGTTACAGTAAAACTGTGAAGATGTTTTAATCCTCAGTACCTACACAAACTAGGTAAAACCACACTGATCACTGATAGTATGATTATTAATAATAAACAATTAAGAGCATTTTTTATTGTCACTTTAACCTCACTCCAGTCATGATAAATGGTAGGTATGTGGGATACGTAGGTCCAGTTTATCACTAAATACTTAGCTCTAGACATCACAGTGAAGACTGAAGGTTGACTTTTCTTTTATCAGATACAAACGGTCTTTATCACCCTCTGGCTGTTGGCTACAGTCAGTATATTTAACATGGACATGTAGCAGGAATGCAGCTGTGTCCTGGGTCAGGAGGCCCTATAGCAGAAGCAAACTCCTTTCACCTCTCTGCTAATGAATGTTTGTCTGCTGTGTTTACTCAAGATGCCACACTGCTCAAACAGCTAATAGATCATTGACACCCAACTGGTCTGCTTTGGCTGCAGTTTGTGCCAGTAATCAGCAGATTTGAGTGTATTGGCAGACCTAAAATCCTCGATGTCATACAATCAGTCTTTGTTATCACTGCCGGGAAAAAAACGCAAAAGCATATGCATTAGGTCCTTGTAGTTTGAAATAGTTTTAGCACTGATGTGTGAAAGAACTACCGTATGTTCCTCATATGTGACACAGATGCTCAGCTAGCAATTTTAAGATTCGAGTGTAGACTGTTTAAAACTGACGTTAAAGATTACAGTAAAACAACATAAAAGAAGGGAATTTCTTTGTGATGTGATGCAAAAAAATACTCCATACCAATACAATATAAGTAAATCTTTTACCTGTGACTAAATGTAGATTTTGTATTGAGGGGAATTCACTGCTGCATCTTCTCCAAATAAACTGATTTGACAGCTGATTTGTTCCATTAGATATTTTGTATGTTGAAAGGTATGATAAACAGATACAGAGCAGAGGCGTAAACTATACGCCTCTGCTCTGTATCAGCACTGTGCAAACCACAAGGGTCCATTGCCATACAGTAATTCTGGCCGCCATCTGCTGGCCGAGATTGCAATGACATGGTTTGTCATGAACTGTACAACACAGGCAATGAACATCAGTGTCATAAAACACTGACATTTGCATAATTTCTCACGAAGAGTTGCGAGTGTTTTTGTTTGAAAGAGTTTTTTAATCATGACATGAAATTACATTTTACAATCAGACTCATCACCATAGTTTTGTGGTTTTCCTGTTTCAAAAGTAATTTGTTTTGCTGATTATTCTTTTGACACCCTATTATGAACTACGCTGTCTATCTATTCACTACAAGGCTTTGTTTAAAGACAATTTTTGATGATACATTTCCAAAATGATTGTGTTTGTGATCTGTGTTTGAGTGTTAGGAAATGTGTATTTTATTAATTGACTTTAATTATACCATTAACAGTCACAGCATCGTAAGGTGGGCTAAAAACTAAAAGTTCCCAACGCTTCAATGTGCGCCACACTGTTTTGACCCTCACGAGTTACCGTCGGCTGCACAACACACGTGACCCAGTCAGTTGACAGGGGCAAAACACGGCAGTAACTTCCATCACACAGAAAAGACAGACAGACAGGCGACATGGACCATCACCGAGTGGACAGGGTGGGTCTTCTGTCCCCCCTGGAGGAGTCCAGCGCGGAGATCAGCAGAGACAGCGGCATTGTTTCCCAGAGTGCGAGCAGTCTGTCCATGGTGAGCGAGATCCTCAGCAGCGGCACCGTGTCGCAGAGCCCCAGCTTTGGCGCAGCGGCTAACGTTATCTCTCGAAGCCCGAGCCTCAACGAAGCGGCGGAGCCCGGGACAGCCGACCAGCACTCCCCAGAGCTGGACGACGAGGTCCTGAGACACACCGCCCTCAGCTACTCCTCCTACATCAGGGCGACCGCTGGAGAAGAGGTTTGTGCCGATGGCTTTTACACGAGAGAGCCACCGCCGAGCCGTGTGAAGCACTGTACGTACTAACTAGCTGAGTTAACGGTTAGCTCTTTGTTTATGAAGTAGCTGTGCGGGCTGCTGTAGCCTAGCACACACTTGGAAGTACTCCAGGATAACTCCCTTAGTCAGCTACAACGTGGTCAATAATAATCAATGAATCTAGCGAGCTAACGTTAACTTATGCAGTTCTTTAGCAACGGCTAAGACAAGTGGTTGCTAAGCGACACACAGGCAGTGACACTGAAGGGTGGTCTGTCGTCACTGGCTCTGGTTCATCATGACTGCAGCTCTGCTGATTTACTGGGACGTGGAGATGTTTTATGGCAGAGATTGGACAAAGGCATTGTTCTGTAAGTGACATGTAAGTGTAAAGTATTGGTTATAAAGTCCTCAGTCCAATTCAAACCCCTGACAATGTATTTTCGAGTCCTAAATAAGTCCTTCAACCCATTTAATGACATATGTGTTTATTTAAGCACCATATTGGTAACTTAAAGATAATGTACAAAATAAATCCCCCTATTAAAGGATTCATAACTCAAGACTTATCTTCCTTGAGTTCAAATCATGTGACAAGAGTCCACACATCTTGTTTTCTGGTTCACAACATTATTCAAATAAAACTTATTTAGAGTTACTAACAGAAAAGGGCTGAACTGTCAAAGTCTGTTCATAACAACAGTTTGGGGAGACAGTCTATATATTTGTGAGGACTGACTATATCTCTCAAACTTTACTCATGTTATGGCTGACTGACCAGATTGCTGTCACTCCTGAGTTGACATTAACTGGATATGCGTGATACCAGTCAGTTTAGAAAGAAGCTGAGCTAGCTCGCCGGCTCTGTAGGAAGACAAAGGCCCCTGTGTTTTGGCCCTGTGGTCCTCACTGACACAATTTAAAGGCATATTTTTGAATTTCAGCTGTAACTGATACGTGGGACTGATTTTAAAAGCACAGAAAGTGTATGGTGCCGTTTATTTGATGCATTTGATGTATATTTGGTTTCTATATAGTTTGTGTGTGTACAACATTTTCACAGCCTTTTCTTTAAATCATTTCTCCTGTAGATCCTGTGTTTGGAGAAGAACTTGGAAGAAATGCTGACAAGAGTAGATGAGTTTGTTGGAATGCTGGATATGGTAAGATAAGACACCGATACATATTATTATTGCACTGCATCTAATTATTGTTGAATTACATGCACATTTGTCTCTCACATTCTTTTGTGTTTTTCCTCTAGATCCGTAATGATACCTCCCAGATCGTGAATGAAAACCTACCTCAAATCCAGCAGAAGTCTGATGAAATGAGACAAATATACAGAAGAATTGATAAGTTAGAGGTAAGTGATCATTTTAACTTTGCAAGGCTGAAGGGGTTACTGACTTGATCCAGTTTATGGCATCTTGTGGCCACAGCAGACTCCCAGCTACAATTCTGCAATGAACGTAACATGATACCAATTATGTAACACAATGTAAACAGGATTTGCATGCAGTTTTTAGTCATGATTCAAGTGAAATATCCACTTCACAAAAGGAGAAACAGAGAGATATTATGAACAAGGTAACCGGCTTACTATCTCCACCTCCAAAAATGGAAGTAAATGCTGGTCTAGGTGTGTAGTAGGTTCCTGTTTTCATGTCCTAATAATGTTTAACCCCACTGAGTAACTAATGATACATAATAATCGTAAGTTATAAAAGCTGTTGCTTTAATAATATTCAGCAATGGAATATTTCATCATTTATTATATTACTTTCTATTATTTAATTCCACTGAACAATTTTTAATTCAGTTTTTCCAAACATTGTTTCAGGTTCACTCATCGACCTCATATTTAAAGAAGATCCAATTAATGTTAAAATCTTTTACAGATTGTGAAAGATACAGTAGATTCTTTGCCTGCGTGCCATGTGAAACCTTTAGTTTCATGTATTAGTTTATATTTTATTTTTATTTTAGTGTGATGTTGAATTGTCTTGAATGATGTTTGTCTCATAAAATGTTGCAATACTATTCTTATGTGCTTGCAGGCCTTTGTAAAGATGGTGGGAGCCAACGTCAACGCGATGGAGGAGCAGGTCGCGCAGGCAGAGGGAGAACTAGGAACACTACCGGGTGCTTTCAAGAAGATCCTTCGCACAATGAGTGTTCCAGGCTTCTTAAATGTGAGAGCTTATGAATTTTGTAGTTTGACATTTGTATGCACAGTACCTATGGTTTGTTTGTCTTCTCGTATTAACAATCATGACATTAACCAGCAAATTATGCTGTGAAACTGTGTTTTGTGCCTACTGAGTTGAGACCTTTTTCAAATAAACCTTTAAAATCTAGCCCAGTAGTTGTTGAAATTGGATAATTAGGATTCATTTGTGTCTGTTCACTCACAGAAACCAGCCAGCCCCAGAAGACCAGCACCACATCAGCGTCAAGAGGTCCCCAGCGTGTTCCGGACAGATGATTATTTCACATCACAGCCAGAGCAGTGACACACTAGAACATTTAACACATAACTTGGTTCTAACCTCAGAGGCCTATTTGGTGAAACTGTAAAGACAACTATTACTGCCATCCATTGCAGGAGGATCTTTTGGTGCAGTGGCCTCAACAAAGCAATAGTAGCCTTTCTGAACAAGTCACTGGAAGTCAAGTGCGTGGAGAGTGTCATTTTCCTGGAAGCAACAAGCACTGAACTGTAGCAAAATGATTTTAAAAGTGCCTAAATGGGTCTTATTTACTTTTCACTATTTGTGAAGAAAACAATGTCAGATGTTGGATTTTTGACAGGTCAGGAGGACAAAGTCATCCTAGTTGCCAATAGGACACTGTAAAGAAGGTACAATAGTAGGAGCTCTAAAGATCTTAATGTATTACATGAAGAATTAACCCAGCTTTTTTTATAAATCACATTCCTGTTACTGGTGTTTGTAAAGACCTGCACGCTGTTAGGAATTCATCTGTATTTCTTATGTTTCATCACTCTCTCCAAGCAATATTGTGATATCAATATCTCATCCAGTTAAGCATTTAATGTCTTCCATTTCAAAACATTTACTTAATTTTATAGTCTGATATTACTGGCTATGGATGACTACATCTTTGAGGGCACCTTTTCAATAAAAGCACACTATAGATGAATTGTGTTCATTTCTCAAGTCAGACTATCTGACGAATCAACATTTTAACCATGGATGGAGCTGTGATTGAACAATAACTGGAGGAAACTTACGCATCCAACGAGGCTTTACACAGCACACTGCTATGATTCATTATGTCATCATTTGCCATAATAGTTAGAAATAAACACGTTTTTATTTACAGGTTGATTTTGTTTTACGTTTTTGTAAATTTTCATTAAAGATTCATTGAGTCTATTGCATGTCCCATTATTGTTTGTTTCTCCTTGCTCACTTTTGGCCATAATGCCTAACCCTTAAATGAGTATTGAGCTTTATTCCTCTGAGTTCCGTTTGTCAGGCAGTGCTCGGCCTACAAATCCCGCCTCCTTTTCCTTTACCAGGATTGACAGGGCTAAATCCGAGCCTCCCGAACCGGGTTAGTGATCTCGTTAGAGGTGTGGATGTTGGACGTGGTACAGAGTCGGGGAGAACGAGCTCCTGACAGGCTGAACTCAGGGCAACAACTTCCACTGTTCTCCGTCTTCCATTGGTCAGCTGGTGAGCGACGTCATAAGTCGTCATGACTCGGAGGAAGCGGGAACCCCATCAGCCTCGATTTGACTGGATTTGTCTCCACGCTGGCTTTGCCCCGCTGATTGAAAAAAAAAAAAAAAGTAAGCTAAAACTTACGGACACGGTAAAGTACGGGTTTTTTAATTCAAATGCTTCTCCGTAGCAACTTGTCCAGCTGTGGTAACGCGGTTTTGTTGAGACGAGAGTAATGGGGATACCGTGAATTAAGCGTTTCCGGGAAAATGTGTGTGCTAACGGTAACGTTAGCCGTGAGTTACGTTATTGGATAACTTATGGCGGTGGCTCTCGGTGTTGAACAGTGGACAGGGGTTGTGGTTAGTTTTCTATTTAACACCGGCTGTAGGTAGCTATCCTCCTCGATCTCCGGACTAGCTCGCCTGTAACATGTTGAATTTATTTATGTTCTCTATCGAGCTTTAACTGGTAACTTTAAAATGAATGTGACTGTGGTCAGACGTTTAATAACGCTACGCCTCGGGACGTACTCACGGTTTATTGCATGGCTGCCTGGTTTATAACAGATTCAGCAATGTAAGTTTGTATTGTTTATGTCAACTCATTGTTATCATTCTTATCGTTGCACCTCGGGATTAGCATAAATAAGACAATACATCACTTAAAGGAGGTCGCGGGTTTTTCCAGTTGTGTATTTACAGCTGTATCCCCGAGCAACTCACCCAGGGTTTCCCATATATACACAAAGCATATTTGGGGAGAATTTCTTCCATAGTTTTGCAATAATTTACGACTTTTCCAATGTCTATGTGTGCAAACGCAACTGAAAGTGTCCCACAGACTGAGGCATGCCAAAGTTATGCATTCATATAGAGTTGTATTGGTCTTAATCCAGAAAGAAAACACACTGTTGTCATACCTATTTGTAATAGTAGAGGGCTAAATGTAGAGTCAGAAGCTGCACTGCAAGCCTGATTTATTGCACATATCTGATTATTTGTTTTTTGGGTTGTTCACATTATATTTGTAATGTGGTCCCAATCAGATTCCACTGTGATGCTCCTAATCTGCATAATGAATGTTAATGTAGAGTGAAGGAAAAGTCACATGAATTTTGATCTGACAGTTCACCCTGAGGCCAATAAAACAGACCTGTATCTGATGTGGAAAACATATGAAAGTGGCCTGAACCAGAATTTAAAAGATCAGATTCCATGTGATTTGTACTGTTCACACTGTCCTGAAAAAACCCGAATAGAGTATTTTCATGGTTTTATTTGTATATCAGCGAACAGCCTGCGGTGTACTGCATCTTTGACTGACTGCTAATGACGAGGATCTTCTCTTTTACAGATTCAAAGCTTCACACATGGCTGGCGAGAAAGAAATATGGCAAAAGATCGGAGAGGGCTTTGTCCAAGAATATTACAACCAGTTTGACAATACCAATAGGATGGGACTGGGTAACCTATATGTAAGTTTGTTCAGTGTACATTTAATAATTGCCTGTTTTAATAAAAATATATGGAACATCAACACTGACTAGGGTGGGAAATGAGCACCAGTCAAATGCTGGTAAAATATAAAAGTGGCTGGCTGAACAACAAACAACAAAATAAAGATTTACAGTTGAGTAGCAGGTGACTTTGAATGTTTATCTGTCAGTGGCTAGTAGATGTTCACATTTTACAAAGTAAAAATCTCACCCTGACACTGACAAACCAAATTCCATCACAGTTACTGAGGCATGATAAAAGAAATTATTGCATGCATGCATTTGATGCCCCTTTTATTTTTTCTTAGTCTGCTGAAGCCTGTTTGACGTGGGAAGGATCACCTTTTCTTGGGAGAGAAGCCATCGCTGGAAAATTAGCAGTAAGAATCTCTTCTCACTCTGTTTGTATTAATTACCATCTACAAGAGTAAAAAGTAGGCTTCCCTAGAAGGTTAGTAGTAACAGAGAAAAAAGGATCAGCAATGTTCACTTGCAGCTTATAGTCCATTGTGTGTGTGTGTGTGTGTGTGTGTGTGTGTGTGTGTACATTCCACTAACACTATTGTTTCCAATCTGCAGGGCTTGCCTTTCAAGCGTATTAAGCACATTATTACAGAACAAGACTTCCAACCCACGATAGACAGCTGTATCCTCATCATGGTGTTCGGACAGTTACAGGTAACTTTTACATTATTGTTGATAACCTTTGTTATCTGCACCTGGGGCCTGGATTACAAAGCAAATTCTACTTGGTCCGGGTCTCTTGGCCATAACTGGCTTCACTGAGCCTAATATTATCCAGCCTGCATGACTGGTATCACAAAACTGGCTATGAAGTGGCTCAGTAAACTCTGGGTTTTCCAATCCATTCGCAAGTGTGTTCATGTGAAAGAAGGTGGAGTCGTTAATTACAAGCATCTTCTGAACCATGAAGGAAGTACTTTTAATATAATATGAGATTAAATTTGGTTAAAGCAACAAAAAGTGATATTCAGCCAGATGAAATGTATACAATCGCATAACTATAAGTATGTGGTAAGTAAGAAACATTAGCAATAATTTACAAATGTTAAAGTAAGGCTATAAATAAGTGTGGGATTTATTATTACAGTATGTGTTTCTGCTTCCAAAGCCAGCTTCCATGTCTGTTGTGTCTGTCCGACCAAAATGTTGCATTTTTTACTCGTAGGAACTAATTAGTTTGGACTGTTTTTCTTAAAAGAGAAATAGAGGGTATAGGTTTTATTTATTATCGTCACAAAATCGACTTGGCACAAGAGTGTGAAGCATCGACACCGTCAGGAATCCTGTCTGATGAAAGAAACTTTGCAATTATAAATGTAGCTATATTTGTATTGTATGTATTTACTGTGGTAAACTATCCCTCTGTTTGTTAGAAGTTCTGTTTTAAAATCAAAATGCACACATGGAAAGCCTGGAACAGCAAAATAAGTATACTGACCCATAAAACCTTTATTGCTTTATTACTTGTGATTGCTGTCGTTTTACCAGTGATCTGACTGGGCGGGCTTCCTTTTGAAGTTAACCTGTTCTTGAGCAGGTTAGCTGTGCAACCCCAGGTTAGCGTGATGATTTTTGAAAAGTGAGCCAGCTTCGTGATCTTGCAAAACCACAGTGGAGCTTTGTGGTGCAGGCCCCAGATCCACAGATACACAACCTGCAATACATTTTTGTTTTATGTGGGATAACCTGGCGCTATTTATTTAACGCCCCGTACACCTGCTGCATCTGATTCTCATTGCCTCAAAACATTTTTACTGTCTAGATTTAATAAAAGAGCAACGTTCTTCTTGTAAATCAAACTCCTGTCCTAGCTGTAGAAAATTGCCTTTGTTTTATCACAAATGTTCCATGAGTTATTAAAAATAAATAAAATAAACCATCATACAAGGTTTATTTTCTGCCTTAGTTATGTTTTCTCATCATTATACTCTCAAATTCTTCCAAAACCTTCTCTGTAACAGGTAGATGACGATCCACCAATGGCCTTTCATCAAGTGTTTATGCTGAAGTCACAGAACTGTGCATGGGCGTGCACAAACGACGTGTTCAGGTTGGGGATACACAACATACCAGTCTAGCGACCTGGATTTGTTGGCTCACCTAGATTGACATCCAGCTCTGAATTCATACCGTAGCCCTGCTGTCATTGAAAACAAAAGGAATTATATGCAATTCCCTTATGTTTACAATACATATATAAGCAGGCTAATTGTATTAAAGATGTCAAATTACATTCCTGTCAAATAAAAAGCATTTATCAGACTGAACTAACTGTACTTTCCCCTTGTGTTGTTTTATTACTCATCCTTCCCCCTCCGCACATGACAAAGGTTGCGGTATAATGACTCATATTGTGAGTGAAGTGTGAGTAGTAAAATCTTCATGGTATTGTGTCATCTAAACTTTGTCGGTCTTATGGTTTTGTAATACAACATTTATGGTGATTGAACACTAGAGGCGCTACACTCCTCTGTGTTTGTGTGTGTGTGTCAGTTTAAATGGTTTAACCAACAAAGCTACAGCTGCATCCACGCAAGGTTATGTGATACGGAGGAGTAGCTAGAGCCAAACTAAATGACACCGACTGGGAAAAGGACGTCTTCTCGGGAAATGGATCTAATAAACCGACAATCTGATCAAATTAAAGAATCGGTAAGCGATTTCAGTACAGCTGCTGTTATAACTACTTGGTTAAAGTAATTGCAGTAATGGTAGTGTGTCCATCTCACTCGAGAGTGGGAGACCTTCGGGTAAATAAAGGCGTTTCAGCTTCGTACTGTAACATTAAGGTTAGAGTTTTTAATAAAGAAGCAGGTTATTGCCAATTTAACGTTAAGTCTTTAAACCAACATTTTAGCCGCATGGAGACTGGCCTCGTCTGCTCGTGTAAGCTACGCTAACTGGTAGTGACGGTGTAACGATAGGTTGTTGTCGGATACAACGTCGATTAAAATGAATAACTATTGATTCAATGTGATAAGATAAAAGCTAGCAATGACAATATTTTTTATAAACACACATAAGCCTTATATTAGACGTTTAAATAAGATATGCCCGTTGTTTTGGATCTTACGAGTTAATGCGCAAGCGCACTGGGCTATTTTGTAATTAAAGGTACAATGTGTTAAAACGTGGTTAAAACAGTCTGAAGCCGTAGTTGACATGCTGCTAACGTTTGACAAACCCAAATTTAGCCATTAAACCATAAATATCAGTCAGATGTCATGTTGACACATTTTTACTAATTACTGTTTACTTACTGGGCTCTGGCTCTTTGTAGGGTGGCCATAAAGATAAAGACCCAGACTGCCAAAATAGTTCAGAGACAGAGGATGAACCTTTGCTCCGAGAAAACCCCAGACGGTTTGTCGTCTTCCCCATCCAGTACCCCGACATCTGGAAGATGTACAAGCAGGCACAGGCGTCTTTCTGGACGGTGGAGGAGGTAGGTATCAGTTTGAATGTACTTTAATTCTTGTGTTTCACCAGCTGGCTTATGGGAAAAACCCACAATCACACACTCATCATCGCTTCAAATATGTACAAAAAAAAGTTTGATTGACTAAATGTATATACTAATACTACTGAAGTAAGTTAAATTACAAATATATGATATGATGATATACAAAGGCAACTAAAAGAAACACTGTCGTTCACCGTAGCCTGTCACAAGTAAACAGCTCTGAATACTTTTCAGTATTTTAAAATATACTGTTGATGTTGTGTTTTTCAGGTTGATCTGTCCAAAGATTTGGCACACTGGGACCGTTTGAAGCCTGAAGAGAAACACTTCATCTCCCATGTCCTAGCGTTCTTTGCTGCAAGTGATGGTATCGTCAACGAGAACCTGGTGAGAGGGGTCAGAGGGGTGTCACTCGGTTGTAACTGTTGTTTTGTAGGGTTAATGCCTCTGAAGAGGGGCACAATTGTTGAGCATGACCCAGTAAAGTCACATATAAAATGTATTGTGTTTATGTCTCATCTAACAGGTGCAGAGGTTCTGCCAGGAAGTGCAGGTCCCTGAAGCACGCTCCTTCTACAGCTTCCAGATCCTTATAGAGACCGTTCATTCAGAGATGTACAGCATGCTCATCAACACTTACATCAGGGACCTGAAGGAGAGGTTAGTTTGTTTTGTTGTCCCTCCCTTCTGATGCCCAGTGGCTCTGACAAACGTACATGCAAAAGCAGGTCGCTGGTGAAAGGTGTATTTTGTAAATTAAGCACAATTTAGAAGAACTCAGAACGACAGCAGGATATAAAAATGTAGTTTCCTCTGTGCTTTCGGAGCCAGAACATAACCACATACAGACAATTTCTCCCTGTATGTCTAATCTTCTGAAGGTTCCAAACAAACTGTAAGACTTGCACCTGTTCATCACAGACAATGTCTACACCACTTTGTGGTTATTTCTGTTGCATCCCCAACTGCAGCAGCTTCCATGTAGCTACAGACTAGGAAGACAACTATTTTATGGCCTCTGAATCAACAGGTTAATTTTTACAATATGTATTATTCTGCATGCATTTGACTCTCTTCCACTTTTTGTGTCTTATGTTTGTACAATTCAACTTCATTATCATTTAACACAGTGTTCAGGCACAATTCATTGTTGGGTCTCCATAAAGGCACTGTATTTGATATATATTTGCTATATTTTTAGGGCTGTTTTATTAATTGTGTGTTTCAGGGACTACTTATTTAACGCCACTCAGACCATGCCTTGTGTGAGACGAAAAGCAGACTGGGCGCTCAAGTGGATAAGTGACAGCAAATCCACATTTGGTAAGGAATATACAACATTCAAAACATGATATTGTTGTATCACATCATAATGAGAGAGAGAGTGGGGACTTTCCGTTTATCTGTAGTAAATAGTAGTTTTGACACTTTGCCCTCAGGGGAGCGAATTGTGGCTTTTGCAGCAGTGGAGGGAATATTCTTCTCCGGCTCATTCGCTGCCATTTATTGGCTCAAGAAGAGAGGACTAATGCCTGGCCTTACCTACTCCAACGAGCTGATTAGCAGGGATGAGGTGAGATGAAATCACTAACCAAAAGACATGTGGTTTAAACTGTAAAAAGAACCTCAATTTTGAGAGCAACTGAAATAAAATACAGTAGTGTACAAAATGAGAAAGCAAACTTAAGTTTGATCTCAGCGTAGAGGTTTGGCTGTGCACATGTTTCCTCTCCTTTCAGGCCATTCAACTAACTCTGAGGTTACTGTATTATATTACTGTTTATATTATATTACTTGCCAGTCCTCTGATGTGACTGCTGGCTGGTTCAACTCCTCTATCCACACTTTTTTATTTAAACATCTTCAGAGTAGGTGTGGCTCATTTTGTTTGGATGGTAAATATGTTCACAGTTTGCATTTGAAAACAGTTCACGGCTGATCTTCTCTGTTTTTATATAACTATTCTGACATGTATATTGATGTGTTTCTTAGGGCCTGCACTGTAACTTTGCCTGCCTGCTGTACAGCTACCTGGTGAAAAAGCCATCAGAGGACCGGGTGAAGGACATCATCACCAAAGCTGTTAGCATTGAGCAGGTCAGCAAGTGTTGCAGAGAATATATTGTTATGTATACAGTATATGAATGTCTGCTTGTTACTCCCTGTTTACCTTGTCTATACTGACTCCCATTGCAATAAATCAGTAGCAGCTTAACAGTCAGTTGGGGCCATACCAGTTCTGTATATATAAAAACAAATGTTTGGTTTTGCAGGAGTTTTTGACAGAAGCGTTGCCAGTGGATCTCATTGGCATCAACTGTTGTTTGATGAAGCAGTACATTGAGTTTGTGGCCGACCGGCTTCTCTCTGACCTCGGACAGGCCAAGGTAATAATATTAAAATAGATATAATGAAAGCCAAATGGTGATTTACATTCTAGTAGGTGTTGTGTTAAAATGGAGGATTACTGGGTTGGGAAGACTGACTGCAACTGTAAAAATGACCACTAAACACATATGCTTTACACAATAATTGACTAAAGAAATGTAATTTAATAACATCAAGATGTGTTAATGGATTCTATTTTGTGTTTGCTTCTTTTTTTTTTCCTCGCCTTTAATCAAAAGGTATACCTGGCCGAAAATCCATTTGACTTCATGGAGTCCATCTCACTAGAGGGGAAAACCAACTTCTTCGAGAAACGAGTCGCAGAGTATCAGCGATTTGGAGTTATGACAAGCATGATGGACTCTGAATTCACTCTAGATGCAGACTTCTGAAACTGAAATGACACTGTTACATTTTACCTGCTTATTTATTTATTTTTTTTAACAGTTATTGACCAAAAACGGATTTGTTACAATACTATCACAGTATTACAAATGAGAAATACATGGTCAAGGCTGTACAAGTTTCTGGCAAGGGGGCACTGAGAATTACACCAAGAATCAATTAGTCATTATAGTTTGTTAAGTGGAATAAGGTGAACAAATGGACTTTACAAGCTCTGCTCATGATTGACCTCAACATGTTCAAGATAAATTATGAGTGGTGTGATAGGAGAGATTATTCTCTACTTCTTTTGGAGACGGTTCATTACCTGGGATATATTTTATTGGGTCTGCAGCTCTGGCTGCTAGTTTCTATGGTTAGTTTTTAACATCATGTGTAATGTACAATAAAATGTTTTGTAAAATGATTTTTTTTTTTATTTTATTGTGAAATTTTTTTATTGTGAAACTTTTTTTTTTTATTATTTGTGCTGAAATATCTACTCACACAGCCACCAGAGAGTCAATTTAATTAAATAGCCTTATTTTTAAAATGTCGGCGAGTAGTTGGTTATTATAATGTCTTAAATACATGATTTAGATGTGGCCTAATCCTGTAATCTATAGTTAATGCTGCTGCTTTGAAACACAATAAAGTAACGTTAGTATTTGTTTCCTACCAACTGTAGTTTAACTGATTCCTGCCAACGGTCGGATTACATTAGCCACTCCTCCGTTAGCACACGGATGCTGCTGATGACAGCTAACAGTTAGCTGGTGTTTTAGCTACTTGGAAAGATGGCTGGGGACTTCCGAGGCTTCGCGCTGGAAAAAGCTGAACTGCTTTCCAGCCGTTTGAAGGAGGTCCTGTCTTCGGGGCAGGGGTTTGTTCGGGCTCAGTTCGGGGTGGATTTGGGTCTGGAGCCCGAGCTGTACCCGACGTGGGTCATCCTGTCCACGGCCGCGGTGGGTCTGCTGCTGCTGCTCGCTCTGTCCTGGGCCGCCGCCGTCTGTGGCGGGGCGCTCGTCGCGAAAAAGCGGGGATCCCCGGTCATCCGAGGCAGCTGTGAGCCCGAGAAGGCCAATTTAGCTAAAACGGCCAAACCAGAAGAACAGAAGAAGAGGAACAAGAAGAAAACGCTTGACAAGGTACCGTGGACAGTGTTGAAGCTGCTGAATCACGGTGGGCCAATCACAACAAATGGTTCCGTTCATTGGTGTAGAAACGATTAACGCTAAACGAAAGTGCTCGGCTAGTTAGCGTTGGCTAGCTTTGAGCTAATTTATACATTTATCCTCATTGCTGTTTTATTAGTTGACCAATTTGGTCATCTCATACACCAGGAATCTGTTCAAACAACACAATTAAGCTATGCATGGGTCATGTGCCCCACTTAGAAAATGCCACGAATAAACCAGCTAGCTAGTTAAATATACAACGAGTCATGGTGCCAGCTGACAAAGCCACTAATGATTGTTAGCTAAGTTCAATTAACGCTGTTTAGTGAAAACATTATCGTTAGCCAGCTCTTATACGATAAGCATTACAGCATAGCTACTGCTTGCCTTCACGTCTGATTAATAAACTGTGTTAACAGTGTGAACATTGCAAGGCTTTCACACATTATTCAGTCTGCAGCACAAGTTCCGGACTCCGTTTGGTATTCAGTTCACAGCTAAAAGTCTTTGTAGTGAGGCGTAACAATTATTTAAGTCAGTGGATCTTGTTTTTAGTTGGTTCAGCAATGTAAGTTTTCTTTTAAAAACGTACGTTCATGTAGCAGATATAGTTATGTTATAGAGATTAGTCTGCCAATGCTATCAGACTTTAGGTAAGTCATTTTTGCTATATTACTGGATCATCAACATCATGTTGTTTATCTGATGTCTGTCTTCCTCCCCCAGAAGAATCAATCCAACGGACAACCAGTGGCTGTACCTCAGGAGGAAGTTAAAGTGACTGAGGCAGTTTCCAAGCCAGCCCCGCAGATCAAAACTGAGAAGGTATGTTTGAGCAGCTGCTGCTAAAACGAAGGGGATCTGAAACTGATGGGGGTGGTTGTTGGTGGGCAGACTGGGCAAGGCAGCACCAAGTGTTTCTTGGGTCTCGCTCTGTATTATAAGACAGTTTTGTTATTGGTAAACTATATCTGAAACTCCACTGTCACTCTTTGTCAGATTTCCTAGTGTGGCATGGCCTTAAAGGATATCCTCATACTTCAATATCACTTTTATTTCTCTCTCTCCATAGGTGCATGAGGTACAGGCCCCAGTGCAGGTGAAAAAGAACAAGAAGAAAACCAAGACAGATGTGAAACCGGTTCAGCACGTGTCTACAAATGACGGGAAGGAACCTGACGATGGTAAGACTCATCGGGGAAATTTCATAATAAGTTCTCACTTCCAAACTGACTGTTTCACGCCCCTCGTGTTTTCTGTATTTACAGCCTACTTGACTGTTTTGGTTAGCTTCACTTAGTACACTCATTATGCAGTCCTCTTCCTGTAGCCAGCCTCTGGCTTAAATAATCAACCAAATTTCATCCATAATCAACCATTTTAAATACTTCTTTTTTATCGCCCTGCACACACTCAAAGTCACCTAACAATTTGATGTTGTTTTTTTGTGTCCACCAGGCGCATGGGAGACCAAAGTCAGTAACCGAGAGAAGAAGCAGCAGCGTAGAAAGGACAAGGGCTCTGAGGACTCTGGTAGTCCAGGAGGGGTGGAGGCTCCAAAGGGAAATGTGGAGGCTCATGTTGCCCCAGCGCCTACCAAAACCAGGAAGAACAGAGGAAACCACGGTACTAGCACATGTTATTATGTGGACATTTGGTAATCTAAGGCTTTGGCCTATCATTAAAAGTGTGATTTAACATTTATTTAACAGACAGGTCTAAGCAAATACTGTATAGTAGTATAATAGTATATAGCACATGATGTCAACAGTAATATTGCATGTTACTCATACAGTTTTTTCCCCACTTCTTTCAGAGTCCCTGCATTCAAGAGCCACTGGGAAAGGGGATGCAGCCAGTGGAGCTGGTAAAGACAAAGCTAAACCATTATATTTTTTCTTAGTGAGATGGGAAACCTATTAAATAGCTTGACTTTTCTTTGTTTATTTTTCTTATGTCATATATTCCAGAGTACAGCTTTGTCTAGTATCACAGTTAAATAGAGGATATACATAAAAGTTTCCCTGGGTGTAGTAAATGAACAAGCCTGAAGTTTTGTCTTCACTCCAAAATACAGAATTTGCTAGAATACTGATTTACCCCAGTGTCTGTCTCCTCAGTGTCTACCAGCTGGAGAGAGGAGCCTTCAGTCAATGGTGGAGGTTTGACTGACATTTCCATGAAGATCCCTGGACAGATGGGTCTCATGGAGGGAACCAAGTGGAGTACATCTACACATTACAGGGCCCCACCTAAACGCCAGTCCTGGGCACAGGAGCCGCAAGGTATCACCTGACCTGGGTAGACAGAAATATAAATATTGAGAGTAGAGTATAACACTGCAGAATCTACAATGCAGTGACTTTGAGTTGAAAGGGCTGACTTTCAGCTGTAAAGGTGTTTGAGACATTCATGTCAAGTGAATAGTGTAGGACCTTTTTTTTTTTTGTCCTTAGGGGACTCAACAGTCACAGTTAAAGCTATATTTGGATTAGCAGTGTGTTCAGAGCTTTCATTATGCAATATCATTTGTGTCTGTTTCAGCATTTTTCACAGTGCCACAGTGCCAAGACAGCCTACAGTAATAGTGCCACTTTGTATGTCAAGTAAATGACAGTAGTGAGCAAAACACAACAAGCTGTCACACGAAAGTGCTGAAATTGGGCACAATGAAATAATCTGTAATAGAATCTAATAAAAGCCTCATGCGTGCAGTGATTAAATTATTTGCTTAGACTGTGGAATGTCTTTGTATACTGTAACCGAATGAACGTTGAGGCCTGATCTGAGCTCCAGTGTTTGACAGAGCAGCATTTCAACCATATAATCTGTGTTTCTGTGTGCTCTCGCCAGCGGTTTGGGGTGGCATTGATGGCCGAATAAAGGCTGACCTCAACCCTGTGTCCTTGTCCATGCTGGGTCGAAACACCAGAGGTTGGTATTGTGTGAACTGCTAGATTTATCACCCAGTCACAATGCAGAAATGTCTGATGTAGTTTTTCCACTTTACTTCAATAGCTCAGTGTCGAAGTAACCCAATTACCCAAATCACAATGTCAAATCACAATCCGTCTCCTTTAGAACCAATGTCAAATTCAATGGAGATGCAGTTGGCGAGCCACGCTGATGTTGATGATGAATGGTCTGGATTCAGTGAGTATTTCAGCAACCCATCCCACATAACACAACCTTTTAAATAACTGCAAATCATTACTAAAATGTAAAAGCTGCCAATAATTTTTAACCCTAATCTTAGGTCTTTAAAAAAACCTTTAAATTAAATACATACGTTTTGATTTAGAGGGATCCAAAAGTATCCATTTATATATCCTTATATGCTCTTGTTCTTATTTGTTTTATTACATTTGAATTTGTAATTTTGTATCTAATTCTGTAAATGTGATTTTTCTTTTTTTTTAAAAGATGGAATAGCAGCAGTGGACCCCAGCTCCGACTGGAACGCCCCAGCAGAGCACTGGGGAAACTATGAAGAGCCCCCTCTGTTGGTGACACCAGCACCTCCACCAAAGGAACAACCTGTCCCCCACAAGGTTTTACTGACACTTATTATACCAGTTTCTAAACATTTTAAGAATGCTTTTTTGCGTTATTCGGCACACCGTTAAGGAAGCAACACAAAAGTCAAGATGTTAAACATTTGCCAAAATAGGAAAAAAAAAAAAAAAAACTGAAATCCTTTCATCCTCTTTGCTGATTTATATCTTTATGTGGTGTCCATCCCACAAATTAGCTCCACACACACAGATTAATTTCTGCCATAGACACCACTGTTGACACTACTTTATGTTTTTAATTTTCAAACAACCTGAATGTCTGTTTTTGATATGGCAGCTATCAGAGGATGAGAAGGACACCGAGGATCCCTCCAGTGGAGCATCCAAATCCAAGAAGAAGAGAAAAAAGAAGAAGAAAGCTGAAGAGGAGACTGCCACTGAGGCTCAGGCAAGGAATAAAAGAAACATCAAGCCATCAAATGAATATCTTGCACAACAAAAGTATAAAAATGTTATAAGAAATGAAAGACTCCCTCTTTTGGTAACGTCATTGCATTTGTTTGATTGTAGCCGGTGAGCAGTGCACCCCAAGAACTTCCTGTGCCGGCCTCCAAAAAGCAGAATCCCAGCATATCCTCCTCTCAGAGTAGGTTTCAACAGCTATGAACTCTTTATCCAGACTCTCTACTCTTCCACACATTTCTTTTAAGCACACTGCATTTCATGTCTATATGTTTAAAAGGGGGATGGTTCTATATACAACTTTCTTATTGTTAATTTTCCTTTTTAATTTACTTGCAGAGAAGTCTGAGCAGATTGCTGAGCCTCCGAAGCCCTCCCAGAAGAAAAAGGCCCGAAAAGAAACATGAAGTCACATCACAGGTCCCTACAAAGCATATGCAAATGATTGTTAAAAGTGTCACATGCAATAATTACCAGGTACAGAGTTTCTTTCTGAGACACATCAGCAGTTTATCAGTTACCGGAACAAAAAGAAAACAAGCAGTGGGTGTTACCTGCTTGGCTAAATATAGTGGTGAAATGTGGTCCTATGGACTGAAATCTTAAAACTAATTTGCACTATTTGCTACACTGCAACCAGAGTGGAGTTTCTGGGGATGTGGACTTGCAGTGGAGGTACGTGTTTATGTAATTATTTTTTAAGGCATCAAAAGTGTTTCTTCCCCTCCGTGCGTGTGTTTATAATTGTTAATCCAAAAATACAAAACAGATTTTATTTTTATTTTTTTTGTTTATATGAAAATTTTAGTTAAAAGAGACATGTGATTTTTGCTTCCCAGAATATTGCACTTTGTTTTGTTTACCTTGCTGCTGCTGCTCCTATATCAATTACTGAAATGTGTGGGAGCAAGCTGCATGTGAGGGCTGGTCTCAGATCAGAATATATAAGTCTGTCTCAGTACAACTCTCACGTGCCCATATGTACGTTGAAAGAGTTAAGGGTTGCTGTAATTATCTCCCCTCTCCATTCTGGCCATGAAGTGATGCCCTCATAGAGCAACTGCAAAATCCACTCTTCTTTTTATTGATGAGAAACTTACACAAAGCCTTATATTAGTTTTGGCTAATAACATAAGACTGCACCTAAAATGCATTTTCTACCCCATTTCCTGCAGCGTTGTCGCTCTACGAAGGTGTCGGTGCACGGCCAGTATGGACAGCAGAAATCAGCAACCTATAACTCTTTAAGCGCACAGATTGCATATGACTGTTGTGTTAAGATAGATTTGACTTTTCTTTTGAGTATAAAAGCTCCATCAGAAAGAGTGGCAGCTGTGGTCAGGTTGAATCCTGTGTCAGTGACAGTGGTGAGAAGTTTCACAGCCAAAAAAAAAGTATCTTTTCCATAGAAACTTCTCCACAACCAGTCGTGCAGCGTAATCCACCTCTTCACTGTCCATCCATGTGATCTAAACATTTATTGTTTTTCCAAAATATGGTTAGATACACTAATGCCTGCGCTTCACAGCTGTGGGGAGAAACATAGCTCTGCACTGAAGCTGTGTATTTAGTCAGATTTTATTGAAACTATGGCAGTTTGGAGCACACCGACAGCTCAGACGTCACTGATTCATGACTTATGGATCAGAGCAGGTAATGTAAACTGATCCAGGATTCACAGTGGGGACTGTTGGTGTAGAGAGCACAGTAACTGATCTGAACCACCAGGAGGCACTAATGTGAAGTAAAGGAGTAGTGGGATTATCTGATAAAGCAGTAGCACCATTAAGTGTTGTCCCTCTACCTTTATCATTCTGAGTGCATCTGTCTTTATCTGACTAGACTGTGTGTTGATTTTTTTTAGAGAATTGATTTTTAAAAAAAACATTTTTCTTCAGTTTTTTGTGCTAGAGAAAGCCATGCCATATGTACAGATTGTAAGGGCTTTTTCCAGTTCTGTGATTGCACTGTGCAAACGGCTATGTGGAGTTCCTTTTTGATGTCGATGAATTGTTTTTTTACTACCTTTTTGCGGAATGTGAAATGTGTAACTTTTTTGGTTGTTACATGACTTCCAGGATGTATGATGGGGGATTTTTTTGACGAATTGAGAATGAAGACATACATATACATATGGAGCAGCTTTACTTCCACATGAAAGTTGGTTTTAAACAAGATACACGCACACACACAATTACACATATATAAAAGGAATTTTATTCCATTGCCTTAACCTGTAGTTGTATAGAAAGTGCATTGGCATCCCTTTTTATAGTTTCCATCCAATTGCAAGTTTTGATGTCAGAAATTAATTTCATCTTGCATGACTTTGATAATAGTACTTGTGTACATGAAATTAAATGAACGATTTCTTGCTTTAACTGTTAGTTTGGGTCCTGGAGTACCACTCGGTGTATATACTGTAATAGCTTTTTTTAATGAGACAAGTTGCAGCTTTTCTGTGGGCATCCAATTTAGCGGACATTAACAGGAGTCCGTTGTTGTAGGCAAAGAGCCTTAGTGCTTCAAGGTGTTGATCAGCTGGTGTTGGTAGACCTGATAGAACAAAATGATATGTCGCTGTGGCTTCAGGCGCCCTTTGTTTAATTTTTACTGATGATTTACGATTGATTCAATCAATGTATTTATATACTTGTCACTAGGAAATGGTGATGTGAATGATTTTGTTTAACAAGGAGATAAAAATGATATTTCTGTTTGTTTGGTGAAAATGAAAAATAAATGAGACATGCTTGATATCACATTGTCATAGAAATGCTTTTTTTGTAGAGTAGAATAGAGTAGAATATAATGCCTTTACTGTCACTATACAC